TCTTTTTCTAAATAAAGTTTTATTGAACATAGCAACACTCATCTAGTTATATGTTGCCTGTGGCTACTTTCTTGATAAAATAGCAGACTTGAGTAGATATACTAGATACACTAAGGCCTGCCAAGCTTAAGACATTTACTGTTTGGCCCTGTACAGAAAAATCTAACCAATTCCTAAAAAAATGATAATAAACTCTGAGAGAGCAGGGATTTTGTCTATCTTGTCCTTGTCTACTGCCCTGTCATTAGGATTTAGAGCAGAACCTGATACATAGGAGGCTTTCATTAAGTGCTTGTTAAATAATAACTGATGTTAGTTCCTTAATGTCTCTGGATTTTAACACAATGAACCCAAGTCCACAAGAAATATACAAAGGGTTGTGTTGATGGTAAAATATATATGCACGAATAGCTGGTTGATCAGAATATGACTTTGAAGGGAAGCAGCTACTACAAAGATGTTATGACTGTCAAAGAAATTGCCTGAATATATTTCTCTACTCCAAGGAGCATGAGAAATTTGTACACTTCCTGCCTCATAGTGCTTATTTAGTTTGTGCTTGGGAAAAGAAGTGTGATGCTATTGGATGCAAAAAGCGGAAGAGCTCATGGTGATTTGAAAGAAACCATTTTGTTAAATGTTTGTTTTGGTACCAGAGACTGAACCCAGGGGCACTTAACCACTGAGCCACATCCCTAGCCCTTTTGTGTATTTTATTTAGAGACAGGGTCTCACTAAGTTGCTGAGCCTGGCTTTGAACTTGTGATCTTCCGGCCTCAGCCACTCAAGTTACTAGGATTGATAGAAATTTTTATCCACTAAGGGAGGCACCTTTCTTAGCCTGTGGGAAGGTTCTTGAAATTTACAGTCACATGAGCTTATGTGAGAGAATTTAGACTCTGGAAATTGACTACCAAGTTTCCCTTCTGACCCTCATATGTTTTAGCTGTGTTGAAAGAGTTATTTCAACCCACAATTTCTGCAACTGTGATATAATTACTATCTACTGAATTTCATAAACAAATGAGTTTATTGCATTAAAAATGCAATATAAAATTGTATTGTTATAAATGTCATTATATTCAAATATAATAAGGTTATTATATTATAAACATATTACAAGTTATATAAATATAAAATATTATACATAATTATTATGTGGTATTAATTTTGTATTACTGTATCATAAGAAAGATTAATAATAATTTCATAAGATTATCTAATTTCCATACTCTTGTTTTCTCAATGGTTCCACCCAAAATTTTGTAGATGTTTGGTTTTTCAAGGTTTAAGAGTTCCATTTTAATTTGGGGTGGTCTTCTACTTTATTTTCCTTGAGATTCACATTGTTTAAAGAAACTAGGATGATCATTAGGACACTTGTCTCAAATTCTAAATTGATCTGAACATTTATTTTCTTGTCCTTTATTTATTCTTTCTTTCCGTGTAGTTTCTTTAGGCTGGAAGTTACCGTATCTAAAGGGTAGACTGGGTTCACTTGAGCGCTGAAGTAGGGTACTCTGTGGAATTGCGGCTCACCTCTTGCCTCTCCTCAGGAGGCAGGAAAGCCAGCCTGCTAACACCCTCAGTGATGCCGAGGTTGAACTTCGTCAAGGGAGTAACCTCCCTGTCACTCCACCCTGATGGTTCACTTACCCTGAGGAAATTAACAAATAACCTTGTTGTATGATTCTTCATGGCATTGCCCATCAGTGACCAAAATGTCACTTCATCAGTTTGGCAAAGGGTGATTTTATAGCCCTTCATTTCCTCTTCATTGTCAACTTTCACTCTGCTGGAAAAATCTAACTCTGCCAACCATCATATTTTATGTTACATTTTTTTTGTTTAAGAAACATAATTAAAAGCAAATAAGAGCCTATGAGTGAGGCCAATTTCAAAGTTAATGTGCTGTTCAAAGAGACTTTCTTTCATGCTCTGTATTCTCCCTCAATCTCTACCTTTCTTTCAATGGCAATGTTAATTTAAAGGCTGGAGACACTCTTAAAAATATTAAGCGGGGGACAGGTATGGTGGTGCACACCTGCAATCCCACTGGCTCTGGAGGCTGAGACAGGAGGATCACAAGTTCAAGGCCAGTCTCAGCAACTTAGTGATACCCTAAAGGACTTAAGGAGACTTTGTCTCAAAATTTAAAAAAAATAAAAATAAAAAGGGCTGGGGATGTGGCTCAGAGGTCAGTGATTAAATGCCCCTGGGTTCAATCCCTGGTACTAAAAAAGGCAGCGAATGAGTGAATGAGCAGGATTATTTGTGATAGTGATGATTCCATTAGGAAAATAAAACACAGTGACCTGATGAACAGTGAGGGGCGTGGGGAGAGGGAGGGAGTTACTGTACAGAACATGGCCAAGAAGACTCAAATGATGAAAGGATATCTGGGTGTGGGAATTCCAGGTAGAGAAAGCTGTGGGTGAAAAGTCCCTGCAGGGGCAATGGATTTGGCATGCTGAGGTGACAGGAAGAAGGCTGTGGAGCTGGAGTGTGATAAACAAGGAGGAGAGTGGCAGGAAGTGAGATGTGGGAAGTAAGCAGGGTCCCAATCCCAGGGCCTCATAGGCCAGGCTGAGGACTTTGGAATGGAACTAATTGCCAAGGGAAGCCACTGGTACATTGAACACAGGAGGTGACTTGATCTGATGCATGTTTTTAAAAAGAGCTCTGCAGTTGCTCTGTGGGAATGGACTAGAAGTGGGCCAAGAAGCAGGAAGGCAGATTAGGAGTTGTAGTGGTCTCCAGAGTCTGGTACGGCAGCTTCAGTGGCCATTTCAGGTGGATCCATTCTGGTCTCACCGAAAGGGGAGAAGAACTGTCCTTTGTAAAATAAAACATTTTGGTGTTTGAGGATGCCAGGAAGTGTGATCAGAGAATGCAGTGAAGAAAATAGAAAATGGCTTGTGTTTAACCATCTGTGATGTGCCTGATTCAGTCACACCGTGTACCTTTCATTCATGAACAAGTCCCAAGAGTCTTCTCTGTGCCAAGCGAGCACTGTTCACCACAAGATATGAGGGTTTCACTGTTTCATGAACTGTCATTCAATAAGCAAAGAAACAAACAGCTTAAATGGATAAAAATATGTTTATTAATTGACAGTTGCATCCTTGTGTATCCTCAGTCTTTACATTCTCTACCAAGTTTTTCCAAGTGGGTCCTAACTCTATCTTCTGCAATATTTTTCCTTAAATGAAATGATACAAAATAGAAAATTGTAAAAAAAAAAATTCTAAAATACTCCACAAACAAAATATGATATTAGTAATAATTTTAAGATTGGCTTTTAGAACCATATCAATAACAATATATAAATGAATCATAACAACTTACACTTTTTAAAGTACACGTGTCTCATCTCACTGTTTTGTGCCCAACTCTCTCCCCAACCCCATCCCGTCACCACATGCCTTGCAGGGCTAGAACTAGAGTAAGGCCAATGAAACCAAGGGAGACTGAATCATGTATGTGCAGAGAGGGATCCTATCTTTATTTAAAAATAATATTCTCTGCAATGTGGGTTTTGCATATATATATAATAAATATATATTAAATATATATATTTAAATGGTGCATTACAAAAATCACTTATATGGATTGCCAAGGGTTGTATTTTGTTTTTTCACTTATTTCCATTGCTTTTAGAGTTGCCTCTCTCCTCAGCCTAGTTCCTACTTGCCCACCAGCAGATACATCCCTCTCCCTTTCAACACCCTACAGCCAAATCACAGTATATGTGAAAAGACTTTTTGTGAGCATCTGAAATAATGCCAAATTTAGACCTACCATGAGAAAGGAACATTCTAAAAGTGTCCTTTTTAGAGGGAGGTCCTTTACATTAATACTAACCTTGCAAAAGTTTTCTCAGTCTCTTTCAATAAGTAGATCCAAGGAAAGTGTGATGCTATCAATGATTTCAAATTATGTAGGGAGCTTTTTAAACTAATTTTCCTTCTTTCTTTCCCTTTATTCCTCTGGTAAGGAGGGAAGGGCAAGGAGGGTTGAGGCAGAAGAAGGAGCAGAACAGTGACACAGTTTGAAGATATCTGCTGGAACTGCAGTGTGTATTCTTTACCTGGAGAAGGAGAGGTTTGGGTACATGGCTCACAGATCCATGTCATATTAACATCTGACTGGCAGCATGGGTCTTTGTGATCCAAAAGGAGGTTAGCACTTAGACATTCTGGAGGATCCACCAAGGTAGTGGAGTTGAAAGGATAAAGACAATCTGTCTCTAGTACAGTCTGCATCCCTGATCACTCATCTCCTAAAATTAAGGGTACAAATGGTTTGATTCTCCTTCTCCTTCGTTTTCTGTTTAGAGCAATAAACCAAGTCAGACTTTTGGTTTGAACCTCAGGTATTCCCTTGGTTCTTCCGTGAATTTGGGGCTCTCTCTGAACCTCAGTTTCCTCTACCATAAGGTGACAATGACAATTCCTCTTTTAATTGGCAGCCACATCTAGAAAGTGATATGACATTTAGAAGGCTTGGCATGACCTGTCATAATGGGTGTTCAAGAAGTCGGTGATTATGAATCTGTTTAAACTGTGTCAAGGTTATAGCATATCTATTTGGGTTTTGTAAGGTGATAAGTTTAGGAAGGTCTGTTTTACATGCCTATTAGTTATTCTAAATTATCCACAGTGTCTAAAACCTTGTGCTAATACCCACTTTGCATTTGCAAATGTTGGAGATAAAAATACGGAAAGCAACTCCATTTGAGTATCCTCTACTATGGTTTCAGGACACAAAAATTGAAATCTGAAAACAAATTAAACAACTCAGTGTCCTCACTTAACTGCAATCTCAATCACAAAAATATTGTATGTGTGAGAAACATATGAAGCAGTAACTGATAGAATATACACCATATGATTAATTATTCTTGAAGAAATATTACTTAAGAAAAAACTCAAAGAATCAATTGCTTTCTGCTGTTTACTTTGTGAATGAAGTTTGAAATGGTTTTCTTTTATCTTAAGGTACTAAATCAAACTTCTCGGCTTGAAATTCAACTGTTGGAGAATTCGTTATCAACATACAAATTAGAGAAGCAACTTCTTCAGCAAACAAATGAAATTCTAAAGATTCATGAAAAAAACAGGTGAGGACTATTCCTTTCCAAAAATATTTACGTATGCAGTTTTGTATCTTCCACCTCTCTGCTTACTCAAAAGAAAAATTAAGATTGCAGTGGTTCAAAAGAAATTAATTTTAAACATGAAATGCACAGAGTTTGAGACAAATGCAGTAAATATATCAACAATATGATCAATGTTTACATATTCACATTTTTGAGATACTTTTTATAACATTTAGCATTAATTTATCTAATGTTTGGTTATTCAAATCTACAAGAACATCTACTATTTATTTGATTCTATAACTAAATTCCAAGACACAAAATATTGGCATTTTCCAGCAGAATCAAAGTTAATAACCATAGAGAAGAGAATAGAGCCTCTCAAATTATCATTCAACCCACTCGTAAGTTTTTGCAAAGTAAGAAGATTATCAAAATCAGAGATCTTGCACTAGAGGGAGAAAAAAATCATATTTTTTAAGAAAATTATTTGCTAATAAATGTAATCAAGAGTTTTTTCCCCATTTAAAACCATGTTCTTAAACATAATAAATAAATGTTTGTTAGATTTATAGATGTTATCCCAGTTTTGTGTTTTATGAATTATACATCATTTCAGATAAGTGGAATGGGACTTAGTGCTATCAAGACTTAAAGTCATTAACAATTGGTAACACAATTTAATAAAAATAGTGACTTTTTAAGGATGAGCATCTTGTATTTAATTGCATTTCCTTTTATTTGGACCACTAGAAGTTGAGTTTTAGCCTTTTTGCATTATAGTGCTTTAAAGAAAATTGTACTGATAGAAATTAGTGAAATAACATTGCGTTAGTGGAACCAGAGTTACCATGTTCCAAACGAGGGAGGAACCTAAGAGGTCTGCTGTTTCTCCTCTTACTTCACAGGTGAGGGAATAAGACTCAGAGGAAATGACCTGTCCAAGGTCACCGAGCTAGCCTATGGCAGAGCTGGGAATGCAATCAGGGGTTCTTTGCTATAATCCTCCTCTTTCCACTTTCACATATGGCTTCAGGTTATCTACAACCTAAAAGGATTTTGCCACTTCATGCTAAAAAGTAGACCATAATGCCAACAATTACAATTAAACTTCTGCATGGAAAAAAATAAACCTGGCTGTAAGTTTAGAATCAGAAAGGGGTCACTCATGTGCTATGACTTGTATTTCTAAGTTATATATTTATTTATCCTTGTGCGGTGTCATGGGGTAAACTGTATAACTATAAATAAACTTGACAGGACTTGACCCTGAACTGGCTGCCTGATGAAATATTCTGGAATTGAAATCCTGTTGAAAAATACCACTCATCCTACTGTAGTCTCACATAACCAGTTCTATGCATGCATGTGACAGGCCTACTTTGCTTCAGCCATCCCTTGATTCAGAGTCCCCAACCTGTGCTTTTTACTCTTGTTGCTAAAATGAACCCTATATACATTCAGACACTTCAAATCTTTTGGGAAACCATTTTCCAGGGATCTTGAATATGTAGAACAATGGCAATTTTAGTTTTTGAGTCATTATTTGTTTGAGGATTATGGAAATGACACACATTTTTTTTTGCAGCAAAAGGAGAAAATAAATAAAGGAAAATTAAAAGCCGTAGTTCTAACATGTAGAGATGAATCTTTTTCTGAATAGCAAATATGAATATATTCTTCACAAAAGGTTGTGTCATACAGTACACCCCTTTTCAGTCTGCTTTCTTTGGAGATAGGTATCTTTTAATATCAACAAAATGTCCCTCTAATAACATTCTTAATAGCTGTATGATATTTTGTTTTATAGGTGTAACCCAGGGTGGTTTTAACCCATCTCTCAGTAGGTGTGTTGCCACCTGTGATTTATCTTTTAAACAGTTGCCAGTATGATCTCATATCCGTTGATGCTTCCCGTATTCATGTGTGCATTATCTCTTGGTTTGTGTCTGGCACTTTAGCTGACAGGAGCTCATAAATTCAATAAGTAACCTTGAAGGGTCTGATCCTTAACTATAAAAACAAATGCCATCCTTAAGTATCAATTATACTAAGGTCTGTCTGTCCGTCTCTTTCTCTTTTCTTTTCTCGTCTTGTCTCATATTCAGTTGTTATTTTTTTAAAAAAATCACTTCTACCTAAATTCTTGGATATTTTGCCTTCCCAATATGATTTCTGAGCTGATCTCTGGTATTGTTTCCTATTGTGGGATTTTCACTAGGAAACATATAATTGTTTTAAAGGCAGACTGATTAAAAGTTGTTCTTTCTGTTCTTGCAGTAAAAGGGAATCAGGATGAACTCTCAAAACAATTTCCTCTGGTTAAATTCAAGACCTTCTCCTTGTGCTATAGCCTCTCAGAGACTCTGATTCCTGACCCCAAGCACACACACATGCCTTCTGCTAAAGACATTTTTCTCCCTAATTAAATTCTAATTCATATTGAAAACTCAAGTTTCTTTTATATGCAAATTCTATCATTTATTACTCATGATAATTTTTCAAGATCATGACAATTTCTTTTTCTAATAATATATGCATTGCACAAGGAATTCAGGTGTTTAGACTTTAATTTTAATACAAGACATGTCTTATATCCTTCTACACACTTGCTTCTTTTTTGACTCTGAACTCCTCAAATATGATGTTATCTTATATGTGGCTTTGGAGGTGTTTGTCTGTCAATTGTTTTACCTCTTGGCCTTGCTTGAATTTCTAAAGTTATCTGTCCTTTTGTGGAAGGGTCTAACATGTGCAAGGGAGAGTTGATGGAATATCTGTTCTTAAGCCAATTATATTTTTCCCTGAACCAATTTTGTTTTATTGTTTTGGTACTGGGGATTGAACTCAGGGGCACTCGGCCACTGAGACACATCCCTACCTCTATTTTGCATTTTTATTTACAGATAGAGTCTCACTGAATTGCTTAGGGCCTCATTAAGCCTCCAGAGCCGCTAGGACAACAGGAGTTCAGGTGTCTAGACTTGCACCACTATTCCTGTCTGAACCACTTTTTAAAAAGAGTTTTCTTTGTATAAACAACAAAGCAAATCCATTTGTGATATGTAGCCAATTTTCCCTATTTTGTTTATTGTTACCATTTATTTTCACATGTGCAATGGAATAAGAGGAGTTCTGCCAACCACTTCATACAGCAATAAAGTGTTCCTTCCATTCAATTGAAGAGAAGGCCATAAAGTCAAGAATAAAGCAGTTTGTATTTTAAAAAAAATTTATTGAGCATCCCTATCTGTTCTTTATATAACTGTAGTTCTCCAAATGCAAGAAGAAACTATTTCTACACTGAAGCATCTCTGAAAAGTAGTAACAACTTGAATTTAGTTAGCCAGGTCTGGTTTGGATCAGCTAATACACTTTGCAGAAGGGATTATCTAAATTAAGCTTTTCTTCCTCCCCAAGGAATGTTAGGGGCTGTATCTGGGTATGTGACTTACTAGCTTTGAGTATGATGGGGCCTTCTCAGCCAAGGCGGTGAGTTGGCCCTTAGAAGTGTCACCATCTCTTTGGCAGAACAAGGAGAAATATTTTATGGATAGGATTACACTACACAAGCATGCTGAGAGTTCCTGCTGATTTACATCCTGACAAATTAAATGCCTCACTTGTAGGATTGAAAACGGATTTTTGGCCTCATTAGATTCACTTCTTTACCCCCTAGATAGCCAAAAGCACAAAGCAAGAACTGGATTAGCAATATTAATTCTACTGTTTGTTTTCTTACCAAGAGAGTGGGGGTGGTTCTGAGAATCTTCCAGTTTACTCTCTTTAGGAAACATTGTTTTTATTTGGTTGGATGCGACACTAATCACAAAATGTGGTTTTGGTTCTTACTTCAAGGAAAAGGCATTTGGAAGTATATATAACCCAGTTATATAACTGAAATTACACAACCAAGAACCCAAGTAAATGGAAAACATTAATAATTACCCTTCTCATAAGGAGGCAGGAGCACAAAGTTGGTATGCATAATTGTCAACTTTTATTAAATTCCTTCAGTGTTAAATTCCTCCACTGCTTTTGCTTAAAAACAATGGAAAAAAGAAGTGTACAGGGAAAGATATCATAATGCAATTTCCTTCAACAGAACCAAATATGAGACTGGATCTTTTAGTCTAATGGAGAGATCATTTGGCTATGATTCAAGGCATGTATACATCTTATACACAATCCCAACTTTTCCACAGACAGGCAAAAGAAGTTTCCAGAAGAAATATTTTTTGTTGCAATAAGGTATACAGAAAGGGAAAATCAGTATTCCTTCTGTATAAAAAAAATGAAGCATGTAGGTTTTCTTGATAACTATGTTGAACATGCAGGTGAAGATGAGGGAAATCTCAGAGTGAAGTGAGCTCTACATATGGTGGCAATTCCAAAGTAGTTCAAGCCATACTAGCTGCTCCCTACCTCTTTATTATAATGTAAATGTCTAAGCCAAGTGCTTTTCATTCACTATTGGTAAGCCTCTAACCAATTCTGCAAAGTATGTTTTATTATTTTCATTTTACACATTAAAAAACTGAAGTTCACAGAGATCAAATAACTTGCCCTTGACCAAAGAGTCAAAGTATGGCAAAATGAAAGTTTAAGTCCATGACAATTTTATGCATTAATTATTATAAAAATATTTTTACAACATGATGCAGCCTAAAGTATAATTGATGTGGTTGTCAAGTTAGTCTCTTAACACAAACAAGTATAAAACTGAAGAAAGTGGTAGGCCAGTTGTTTTTGGCCTGCCACTGTACACATCATTATTTAGTCCTTCTAATATTGGCATAGGAGATATAAACTATTTATTTTACATTGGAAATTCACTGAACTTTTTTTGACAAGCCTCATCTATCTTCCAATTGGAGTTATGGGAAATTATTAAGTTAATTAATTGTAAATGATTGAAGTTTTGTACAATTTCAATAGACCAAATTATGCATTACAAACAAATTACTGAAATGGCCTAATAAAGTAGAGGTGCTTTCATCGTTAATATGCCTAAAGAAATG